TGAAAGGAAAGTCCAGTGCTGCAAAGAACAGTACTGCATAGGAACCTGGAATGTAAGATCTATGAATCATAGTAAGTTGGATGTAGTAAAAAATGAGATGGCAAGACTGAACATCGATATCTTGGGAATCAGTGAACTAAAGTGGACGGGAATGGGTGAATTTAACTCAGAGGACCATTATATCTATTACTGTGGCCAAGAATCCCGTAGGAAAAACGGTGTGGCCTTTATAGTCAACAAGAGAGAAAGGCAGTAATGGGATGCAATCTCAAAAACGACAGAACGATCTCGGTCTGAATCCAGGGCAAACCATTCAACATCACAGTAATCCAAGGCTATGCGACAACCTCTGACACAGAAGAGGCTGAAGTGGACCGGTTCTATGAAGACCTACAACACCTCATAGAACTAACACCAAAAAAAGGATGCCCTTATCATCATAGGGGACTGGAATGCTAAAGTAGGAAGTCAGAAGGTAACCAGAATAATGGACAAGTTTGGCCTTGGAGAACAAAATGAAGCCGAGCAAAGGCTAACAGAGTTTAGTCAAGAGAACACGCTCGTCATAGCAAACACCCTATTCCAACTACCTAAGAGGCGACTCTACACATGGATATCACTAGATGTGCTAGCCAAATTACCTTATTTCTTAATAATATCTTGAGGAATTATGAATATAAAATGGCAACAAGCATACAGTGTGGATCATGACCTGTGTATACTGGAGTTTGATTTCCCAAGAACCCAGGAATAGACAAAGAGACTGGTTTAGCATAGGAAAAGGAGTATGGCAAGGATGTATATTGTCACCCTGCTTATTTAATTCATATGCAGAGTACATCATGCAAAATGTCAGCCTGGGTGAATCACAATCTGGAATTAAGATTGCTGGGAAAAACATCAACAACCTCAGATATGCAGACAATACCACTCTAATGGCAGAAAGTGAAGAGGCCCTAAAGAGCCTCTTGCTCAGGATGAAAGCGGAGAGTGCAAAAGTTGGCTTGAAACTCAACATCAAACTAAGATCATGGCATCCAGCCCCATCACTCCTTGGTAAATAAAAGGGGAAGTCATGGAAGCAGTGACAGAATTCATGTTCCTGGGATCCAAGATCACTGCAGACAGTGACCGCAGCCATGAAATTAAAAGACGCCTGCTCCTTGGGAGGAAAGCTATAGTAAATCTAGACAGCATAATAAATAGTAGAGACATTACACTGCCAACAAAAGTCCACATAATTAAAGCAATGGTATTCTCAGTAATAATGTATGACTGCAAGAGTTGGACCATAAGGAAGGCAGAGTGCCAAAGAATAGATACTTTCAAATTATGGTGCTGGAGAAGACTCTTGTGAGGATACTGAAGCTGAAGCTCAAATATTTTGGCCACCGAATGAGAAGAGAGCACTTTCCTGATGCTGGGAAAGACTGAAGGTCAAAGAAGATGGGGACAGCAAAGGATGAAATGGTTAGACAGTGTTACCAATGCAACGAACATGAAATTGAGCAAACTCCAGAGGACAGCGGAAGACAGGAGGTCCTGGCGTGATGTGGTCCATGGGGTTGTGAAGAGTCGGACTTGACTATGCGACTGAACAACAAAAATTATGTTTGTGGTTTAGAGATTATAAGAACTGTGAAGCATGTTCTACTTGAATGCCCATGGTATAAGAAGGCTAGAGAAAAATGGATCAAACCACTTATGTTCCAGTGAAACAAGCTTCCCCTAGATATTTTAGTTACTAGTTTTTTAATGGATTCTAGGCCACCAAATATTCTTTTCTTAGCTAAATTTTTGTTTGGGCCATGAGAGTTCGTGCAGCTTGTGACAAGAAATGTTCTCTGTTTATAGCCTGTCTTCTCTGGCTTGAACTCTTCTTTTTATTCTTAGTTGGGATTGACTTATACTATTCAAAACCTGTAGGTTAGAGGAGGAGAGGGACATAGAGGGCCTTATAGCTGAAAAGTCAGTATGTCCACTCTTTAAATTCTAAAAAAAGGCCATTATTTTTATAGAAAGTTAGCCCTTAAACAGGGGAGGCCAGGTCTACCCCCATACATAACAATGGCTATGTTACTACAATTAATAGGTGATAGACTATCTCTCCTATATAATAAGGCTGTTTTGGGGTGGCAAGATTCGATGCGCGCCAAAATCAGTTGGTTGCCTGAACTGCCACTCAGAAATGGGTCCCTGGCCACTGGCTGCGTTGCCTTTGTCCTGCCCACAGAAGCACTGCCCACCAAAATTGGCCTCAGAACACAGCTTCACCTCAGGAAAGAGGCGTCCTGCTGCTGCCTGCTGCCACTGCTCCTGGCCCGGCCTTGGCCTGCACTGAAGCCAGTGCCTGCCGTCACTCCACAACGCTGCCTGTCCCAGGCCCTCCCAGAGCCCTGATTCCCCGAGGTAAGCAGGCAGCCTCCCCCCCCCCGGTGTTCCCACTTGTTTGGCGGGGGGCCAACCACACATGGGGTCTTCTAGCCAGTGGACTCGCAACTGGGGAACAGGGGCAAAGTCTGCTGCCCAAAGCCCGGAGATCGCCAAATGATGCCCTGAGAAAACCGCTGGGTCCCAAGATCACAACCTCTGGATCATGCCAGGCTGCACATCCCTCCCTTCACCTGCCGCTGCACACCACGCACCCTGGGACCACAGCGTCCCAGAGCCCTAACGACAGCACAGATCGCTGTTCCCTCAGACCTCCGGTAGGCCCCGCCCTTCTTCCTTCAGCACTTGGAGCTCAGGCCGCCAAACTCTGACCCAGCCCTGCCAAATAGGCTGCTCTCCTGTACCGCACGGAGCTCAGGCCGCTGACCCTCGACCACCTCGTGAACTGGCCCTAACAAGTAGGCTGCCCTCTTCTCCAGCATGCTGCTGCACGCTGCACAGCCTAGGACCCCACTGGCCAAGACCCCTGATGATGGCGCAGATCGCTGTCCCCTCGGGCCTCAGGTAGGACCCACCCTTCTTCCTTCAGTGCTTGAAGCTCAGGCTGCCAAACTCCGACGCCTCGGTACCCGGCCCTGCCAAGTAGGCTGCCCTTTTCTCGAGCGTTCACGGAGCTTTCACCAGGCCTCCTCCTCTTCCTTTCAAGCCAATATAGAGTACTTTTGCCCCTCCCAGGAGTCAAAGACAACCTCTCTCTCTGTGCTGCCAAGAACTGACCTGTTCCTCTGTCTGGAGTGCTGGAACAGTGATCCCTTCCTGTGGCCTTTGGGCGACACAGCGCCCCTCTGTGGCCAACCAGACTGGGGGTGGGGGAGAGGATTTCAACTTGGGTCTGCTTCCCAGTCACTTCGTTACTTCCAATAAAGCTGAATCACTTGCTGAATCACTCTAAGAGTCCTTTGTTAGCGCGATCTAACAACTCCCTTCTGGAAATGTTTACCTAAATGCCAACAGAGCACATTTCTAGAGGCTCTCACACCTATGCGAGACGTGTATGTGTGAGCCAACTGTGTGTGCATGACCACAATCCACGAATGCTGACCGAGAGACATCCATTGACTTGCCTCCATGATGTGTCACTCAGAGGCTGTCCCTATCCACTGGCTGCCTTGCCTGAGTCCTGCACTTTCTGGACATCTCACATGCTCCTAACCCAGGGGGGGTGACCTGAAGACTGAGGGGGAAATAAAGGAGATACCTTTATGCTTGCCTGGGGAGGAAATAGACTTCACAACTCTAGCTGGGAAATTCCACAAGATTTCAGGGATGGAGCTTGGAGAGGGGTGGGTTTGAGGAGGCATGGGACATCAGACAAACACGGAGAAAGCATTGGGCTCATACACAGAGATAACCAGCAGCCACACAGCCAAGGCATGCGGCAAACCAGAGATACATACACACTGACACCCAGCTCTGCTCGGCATTCTCTTCGGCATTCTCTGCCCCACATTGTGCGACCTTGGACACCGCTTAGTGTGTAACATCAGGCATTTGAGACTTTACTTCCACATTTCTGCCTTTCTATACTGCTAATATGAGGTGTTAATGTATATTGACTTTCAATTGTATTGCTAAATTTTACACATTTTGATTTTAGACTAACCTAGAATGTGCCCTAGGAATGAGACCAAGCATATATGCAGTCTTTGCCACTGTTTTGACCTTCCAAAAGAGCTGTTCTGCTCGCAACGACATCTGTTATGTCTGGTATCCTGTTTAGTTCATCAGAGCACTGGTAGCAACTATAACCATCACAGGAAAAACTCCCCCCTCAAATAAAATTCAATAGAAAGTTTAAATAATGACCCTGCAAACAGCCTAGAGCAAAAAATATCACTAGGCATCGTTGAATAACCAGGAAGTGGTTACAGGACAGTTGTTAGGATCACCCAAAGGTATGTGAAGTGTTTTCAAGATCTGGGGGAAAAGATGACAGAAAGATGAATGGGAGAAATTTTTGTGGGAGATTCTGAAAACCAGATTTTACATATGGGTTGTCAGTATCAGTCTATGGAAGAACTTCAGCAAGTGGGGAAGGGTGAGAGAAAGGGAATCTGTTGCACTGCACACCTTTGTCAGCAATATCATCTAGGGCAGAAAGAAGCGTCCTGCCATAGCCATTCACAGAGTTGCCATGAAATAGTGTCTTTCAGACCTAGAACTTGGTCTATATGAAGGCCCATTTGAAACTCAAGAATTGTCTTTGTTTGCAACGGAGAAACACTGAGGTGGTGTTTCCACATGATCAAAGAATGTCTACACTGGTAGTACTGAATTAGGCTACAGTTGGTCCTTTGCCCCTTCCCCAGCCTCTTCTCCTGTAAAAACAATCACATCTAGATAATTAAAAACAGGGTTTATAAATGAAACTAACAGAAGACCCTTAACTGCGGCTGCAATATCAGCAACTGCTAAAAACAGACACACACACATATACCCCTTATCAGATTACTAATTAGTTGCTGTGGAGTGGGTTTTTTAAAAAAATTACATAATTACAAATCACCACATTGTTTCAAGAACCTTTATACATCCTTTTAATTAGATTAGCTTTACAAGCACTTTGAGAGCTCTTTCAGAAATGAACACTGCTTTTCAGAAGTTACATGACTTTATAGGAAAACTGCAAATGAATCCTGAATTTCTTTGCCTGCTAGATAAAAGTCTTGTGTTTTACAGCTGGCTAATGTCACAAAATAAAAATAGCATTATGAAGCTTTATCTTTAACCAGGACTAAACACATACAGGCCATAAGACAGTTTAAAAATAGTCTGAAACAGGTTCCTGCTTGGAGATGCCCAAGGCTGAAGATTTTACTGACATGAACAGTTTCTAAACTGACATTAGAAGACCCAATTTGATGACTTTTTATAGGTAAATTGAGAGACTTAAGCACACTTTAAATCTCCCTGACAAGCACAAATGTAAGACACTGGTAATTTTAATATAGGGACTGAAAATAAAAATGTGAAGGCTTATGTTGTGCATTTCTAACACAGAACCAAACTTCTACTAAACTTAATAAAAAAGCTGTTACAAGAAGTTAGAACGGCGTTTCTTAGGCCTGATGCAGTGCATTGCACTGTAGGCCAGACAGTAAAGAAGATTTGCACTCCTTGGTCAGGTTTGCAGAGGCACTTACAGTAGATATGTTTTCTTCCGATTTACTGGGATGAAGAGAAGAACCAAACAGTTAAATTTTTGACAGCGAACTGTTTGGGGAAAAACCCTCAAGATATTTGCCACAAGTTTCCCTAAAATGCTATCACAATACTGAATTTCCCCCTTCCTGTCAGTTGTCCCTATAACACAATCTTTTTCATGTTTTACATGAATAGTAAGTCTTTTTTTAATAAAAATTACTCAGCTTTCCATAGAAAAGGTCTCTAGTAAGAGTACAAACTATACAGAGGCTAAAATTGTCATAAAGTTGTACATACAGAAATATTTCTGTACACTCACATTGTTTTAAGTGAGGGATCAAAGGACAGGCAATGGAAAGTTTAAGTGGGAAAAACCATATTTGCAAGGCTGGTAATACATGGAAGGATCACTTGGGGGGGGGGTTACACTTAAGCACACACCCACCACTTCAAAATAAACATTTCAAACACGTCTGGTTGAGTGAATTTTATTCTCTATTGCTTCCTCAACTTAAAAGAGAGGTAATTTTTTTCCTCGTTAACATATTTAGTATTGCTCAGTGGTCAGTGTTTTTATAGGGAGAAAACGTCTCAGCCGTGTGAAAGTATTTATTTATTTATTTATTAAGCCTGTAGTGATGCACTGCAGTCTTAATACATTCATACTTGATACTATGTAACCGATCAAGGGCCCAAACTACAAATGAGAAAAAGATGCTAGCACTCTGAGAGGAAACATCAGTGATTTTAAGTTCAGTTACCCTACAGACAACAGTGGCAGAGGGGATGTTTTTTCAAAATGATTCAAGACAGAGAATTCTCCCATCAAGGCAGTAGAAAGGGTCTTGGTACATCTAAAAGCCTAAACCCTTATGTTGGAAGGGTCTAATGATACTTATGGGCACAGTACACTTGGCAGTTCATCTACACCAGCCACACTGAAAGAAGCAGGAGCTGCATAAGAGCACAGCTATGTTCTTCAGTCATTTCCATTCATATCAAATGGCTCTCACAGGCGAAGTTCCTACTGGATGCACCCACAGTGCCCTGTGCCAAGGACAGTATGAACAGTGTCAACTTCACTTAGTGCCAGCCAATCACTTGGAAAACCCCAACAAGACAGAAATTCTGGATTCAACGTATAAAACCACAAATTTTAGAAAGTAATTGACAGCTAAGATAGGCATCTGTTTCAGTTAAAAAAAGTTTCATAGAAGACAGTCAACACAATACAGCAGCATTCTTTTAAAAAAATTCAAATTAGTGTAAGATACGAAAATAAAACAATCGGGTTCTCAGCTGGTAATTAAAGTGCTCCGTTTCTGACTTTAGGTGTAAAGACAAAGTGATCATCAGTTACTGGCAACTCTTATTTAAATTAGGTTTTATATAGGAGGAGAACAGTGTGAACAGCAGATTTATAAAAATAGATAAATGCTATTTTGGAGAATAATTTTTGTTTTGCTAAATTTTAATCAGCTGTACCTGGTTATACAAAAATTATATAAAATTTAAACTATGACCGTATTTTTAAAGGGGGGATATGAACAGCATTGAGCTGGATGACTGATCCGGCAAAGTATAAAGAATGGAAAAATTCTATGTAGGGCACTTCATGTGTAAGCTGTTTTTTTCCTCATTGCTTATCTTCACATAAGCGTAGGTTTGGAGTCACAATCATGTAGTACAATGCTTCAGCGGTTACAAATCCATTTGATGCAACACTGAACCCCAATATTTATTTGTTTATTCAAGATGTCAATTTGGCGTTGATTTTCCTTTCCCCCATTATTCACATTCAAAAGTTAACAGATAGCGCCAAAGTCTGTTTGGGGGAGGGTGGCGAAGAGACAGGATGTAGCACAAGGAATTGCTAGATCGAATGCTTTATAAAACGTCTTTCCCATTTGAATCAGAAGGTTTATTAAGTTCAACCCTCACACCTTTTTCACCTGAAGGGAGAAAAAACAAAACAAATACATATACATAAACAAAAAGCAAAAAAATTTAAACATCATATTCTAATAGCCGCCCATGATCCCCATCTGCAGAGAGCTAAATCCATGGATCAGGGCCACATGGGGGCTAAACAGATTTTTCACTAAACTTAGGGTACTCCTCAGATTTGCAGAAAAAAAATGAAAATTAAGAAAAAATTACACAAGGGGTTTTAAATCCCTCCACATGTGTTGTGGAGCCTGGGAGCAATGGCAGGCCATTCAGGAGCTACTCTGGGCCCTGCTGCAGTGGTGGCAGATGCTGAGAGCTGCTCTGGTCTCAGCACCTTGCAGGCACTGCGAACCACTCTGGGCTCGGAGCAGCTCCCAGACACTGCTGCTGTTGAACTCCAAGGCTCAGCAATGGGGTGGGGGGAGATGGGATCCTCCTCCCCACAAGTTTCACAGGCCCCAATTTGTGGGAAGATAATGCTGACGTAGTCTAGAACCCACTTTAATGCCACCAAGAATGCAAAGCCTTTTATTGTTGTAGATTTTCCGGGCTGTATGGCTGTGGTCTTGGCATTGTAGGACCTGACGTTTTGCCAGCAGCTGTGACTGGCATCCTCAGAGGTAAAGCACAGAAAGATGGAGTACTCTCTGTGTCAAGGTGAGAAGAAAAATGGTAGGCAGGTAATTTATATCTACAACTTATCAAAGCCTTTTAGATGCATAGGTAAAGGTTTCCCTTGCATAGCTTTGGGTTAAGTACCTTTTAACACATTCACATTTTATATCTAAATCAGCTGCTCCAAGATTTCATCAAGGCATTTTTTGTCAGTTACATTTATAGATTAGCTGTCATATACTCCAGTCTGATGTACTGGTTAAGATCTGGAAGACCCATGATCTAATTCCCATGGAAGCTTGCTAGGTGACTTTGGGCCAGTTGCATGCTCTCAGCCTAGCCTGCTCTGAAGACGAATTGTTGTGAGGATAAAATGTGAGGAGGAGAGAACAATATTGTATGCTACTCTGGGTCCCAACTGGGGAGAGCAGAAGGACATAAACATTAAATAAATTCCCTGCATTTACATGGATTTTGAGTTTCATATTCTTATTGTAAATTAATTTCCATTTTGAGTTACACCGTGACAAAAGATTAAGAATTAGGATGCTCTATGAAAAGCAAGTAGTTAACACTGCAATACAGAAAAGCACAACAAAAAGCTGATTGATTCCAACAGTGCTGCTCACCTGCTAGGCAGTGGGTAAGAGGTACACTTGCTTAGGATTGCTCTTAATTATGCAGGAACAAGATAGGCTTAAATCACTTTCTACTATATAATTTGAGAGTTTGAATTTATTTTTATCATGTGCTTTAAAAATTGTTTTTGTTACCAGATCAGACTCTACAGGGGTGGGCAGAAGAAAAAGTAAAAAGTAAGACATTTTACCACTCTACCTACATGTTATAATTAGCTTTATTCATGAACCATAGCTGCAACACTGCTGAAAAAAAAAACAGATGCCATAGTATTAGGCTGGATCTAGTTAACATATAGCTATTTTTTCTGCAGCAGAAAGGTACCCATAAGCATAAAATAAATTAGTTACCTGTTAAGTATTTTACTTTAGCGCGTGCTCTTTCATCTGCATCAAAATACCACACTGTTATTGCGTACCTATAAAGAGAGAAAAAGTAGCAGCAATATGAAGCAGTAAGTAGCACACTGTTCAAAAAAGGTAGCATTTCAACAGTTCCACAGATCCTTTTCCTAGTTTCCTTTAACAATATTATGGCAAGATAACCTAAGTAGCAATTTGTACAGTATATCCAATTACAAAAGGGAGATAATTATTTTGCATAGTACTGATTGTTTACAAAATCTCTCAGAACTATTCCATTTTGAGCTGCAATTTCCACTTCATAAACAAGTCAATTATTGTCCGAGCAAATGTTAGATGAAGCATACTTCTCCTTCAAAGAGGAAAGGAATTATACCAAGAAAATACCACTGCGTTATACACAGAGATATTGCATAGCAGGTGCACTAAACTTTTTAGATAAGCCAAGTCCCCCGAATCTGTTCAACTTTTTGAACAAGTATCCACAGAATTCCAAGACCCAAACTGCTGCCCTTGTCCAACGAAAAACAACCTCCTCCTTGAGCCTAGACAGTTTCTTAATCTCATAAAAGCAACAGCACAATCCTATGCCAAGTTATTCCAGTCTAAAACCATTAATTTCAGTGTACTGAGACTGGGATCCTATGAACATTTACTTGGGGGTCCTACTGAAATCAATGGGCTTTATTATCTGAGCTGTCTGGGATGCATCTGTGGGGAAATCTTCCAGCTTTTGGTGAGTGCAGTAGAACCACACAGTCCTGCTGGGAGGGTCTTCTGCTTGAGTGGTCAGCTGGCTACTATTGTCTGACCCCTGGGGGCGGTGCCACAGATCTCAGCTGTAAAACAGAGCTCATTAGAGGAATGACTCTGTAAGAGGCACTTGGGATCCGTGTGAGGGAGGTCAAGGGAGAGCAGGAGAGAACCCCTCTATTCTGTTTTTTTTGGAGAAAGGACATACAAGTTCCAAATGAGCAAGGTGGTGTGCTGCCGTATCCTTCCTGCTATGGAAATCCACACAAATTCAGGTAAGCACTCTATTTCATTCTAAAATACCTTTAAACAACTAAACCAGTACAGGAGTGGGGGCTATCCAGTGTTTTGCAGGGAGTGTGACATCTATGGAACTGGGTGGAAATCATGGGTGTGGGCTTGATCCATGAAGATCTTGGCTCTCAGGGAGCAAGTTCATTCCCTTGAGGCTAAGTTTTTACACCTGGAGAAACTGGGGCAGAGAGAGAAGTTAGGGGACAAGAACTTCAAGGACTTACCAGAACAGTCTGCTGTTATGGAGAGTGAGAGTCCTGAGGTCAGAGGGTGTCAGAGAAGGAGGGTGAGCCCTTAGAAGAGACTCCTTCCTTGGGTGACAGACCAATATCCTCTCATACCTGGGATATCACCTTGGGATTGGGGAAGGTGGGCATTTGGTAGTGGGTTATTTGATTATTAGGAATATAGAAAGAGGGGTCTGTGACAGGCATTTTGACCACATGTTGACTTGAAGTTTGTGGACATCATACCCTGTCTTAATAGGTTGATATATAATGCTGGAGAGGAGTCAGCGGTCGTGGTGTGTGTTGGCACCAATGATATTGGGAAAAGTAATTGTGTGATCCTGGATGAAAATTTAGGTTACTGGGCAGAAAGTTAAAGCAAGGACCCCAAAGGCAGCATTCACAGAATTGCTACTGGTTCCATGTGCAGGGCCCAGCTAGACAGCCACAGATCAGGGGTCTCACTGCATGGATGAGAAAATGGCACCAGGAGAAAAGGTCTAGATTTTTTAGGCACTGGGGAACCTTCTGGGACAAGCTGAACCTGTACAAAACAGATGGGCACCACTTGAACCAAAAGGAAACCAGCTGCTGGAAATTAATATATAAAAAAGTGGCAGAGCAGGTTTTAAACTAATCCCAGAGGGAAAGCCAACAGGAGCTGGAGAGCCTCTGGTTCAGAACAAGTCAGACCAAAGGGACAACTGAGCGAACACTCAGGGTAATACTGATAGGAGTATGATAGAACTTGGAAATGAGGGTAGAATTGTGAAGTAGGGCCATGTGAGGCAACAAAGGGGCTGATGGAGATGGAAACACATTATAGGTGTCTACATGCCAATGTTCAACGTCTCTGAGCCAAGATAGGGGAGCTGCAGTGCTTGGTACTAAATTACAATTTATACATAGTGGGTATCTCAGAAATATGGTGAAATGGGGGAAATATATAGGATACAGTCATCCCTGGGTATAAGTGCTGTAAGCAGGACAGGGACGAACAGGTTAGGGGAGGTGTTGCATTGTACATCAAACAGGGAATAGTATAAAATAAGTCAGAAAACATTAGGGGAATGAACTAGGGGTGTGCAAAAAAATCATTTATTTCCAATTCAGGTCTATCGGACCAAAAAATATTGGTATTCCCGAATATCAATATCGGTTTTGTAGTGGGATCCTGGTAAATATTTGGGAAACCTGAATTTATTCAGCTCCATTATACCCTATGGGGACCGTCCCTCGTGGAGAAGGGATTTAAACTTTAAATGTTTGCTGAATTCACTCACCGAGTTGCGCTGCAGTGGTGGCGCAGCTCTAAATGCTTGCTCAGTTTACTCTGCAATTGCTCCGCAATGGCTCCGCAATCAGCTTGCTCTGCAATGACGGAGTGACTCTGCAAATGAACTCAGAAGGCATTTAAAGAGACCGTGTTCTCTTTAAATGCCTTCTAACCATGACCGAATAAAAGCTGAATAATATCTGATTCGGCTGAATAAATACTCGAAAAGTACCGATATGGTATTTTTCTGCTATTTATTCAGCTCCATATGTACCAAGTGCACACCCCTAGAATGAACTGCCCAACAGAAGCGATATGAGCATAAATACAGGGCCCTAAGGGTTACTTAAAAATGTACTATTGTCCACCTGATCAAGCCCTTGAGGCTGATTTTGAGATGGAGAAGGAAATAACGGAGGTGACTAAAGCAGATAATGTTATATTGGGAGACTTCACCTACTCAAACATTGAATGGGTAAATATGTGCTCAAGTCATGCTGTAGAAATGAGATTCCTAGATATCATAAATGACTGTACACTGGAATAGCTGGTCACAGAACCAACAAAGGGGCAGTGATATTGGACTTAGTTCTGAGCAGGGCTCAAGACCTGGTGAGAAATGTAGAGGATGTTGCACCAACTGGGAACAGACTACAATGCTATCAAGTCCAGCATTTGTGTTAATGGGAGGTTACCCCTAAAGTCCAAAACTGTAACATTTGATTTCAAAAGAGGGAACTTTACAAAAAATAAGAGGCATTGTTAAGGAAGATGAAAGGGAAAAAGAAGAGAGTCAAATCCCTAGAGCATGCTTGAAAGTTATTTAAAACCACACCAATTAATGCCCAAACAGAATGTATTCCCCAGGTTAGGAAACACACTGTCAAATCTAAAATAATGCCTGCATAGTTAACAATGCAAGTCAAGAAAGCTTTAAAAGGAAAAAAAAAGGTTTCTTTTAAAAGGTGGAAGATCTGCCCCAATGAACTGAACAGAAGCGATTACAGGTTCTGGCAAAAGAAATGTAAGTCAATAATTAGGCATGAGAAAAGAGAATCTGAGAAGCAGGTTGCTAAAAGCATCCAGACAAACAATAAACATTTCTTTACATATATCTGGAGCAGAAACCAGCCAGAGAAGCAGCTGAGACTTTGGATGACCAAGGAATAAAGAGATTGCTGATGGAAGATGAGGAGATGGCAGAAAGGTTCCATTAATTTTTTGCTTCTGCATTCACTGTGAAAAGTGTGGGGCATGTACCCATGCATGCCACAGCCACTATTTTCAAGAAGGGAGTCTGAAGAACAGAGTCAATTGAGGTGAGAAGAGATGAAGTTCTAGACCTATTGGGGAAACTGAAAACCACATCAGAGTGTTCTTACAGAACACAAATGCGAGATTGTTGATCTAACCTATGTATGTAACCGATCACTAAATTCAGCTGCTGTACCATAAGACTGGAGAGTAGCAAATGTCACACCAATTTTTTAAAAAGGGTCCCAAGAGGAACCAGGTAATTACAGGCCAGTCTGCCTAATGTCTGTCCCAGCCAAATTAGTAGAAACTGTATCAAAGGTAAAATTATTAGGCACATTGGGGAACAAAACCGGCTGAGGGAAAATCAGCATGGCTTCTGCAAAGGGAAATCCGGCCTCACAAACTTTTTAGAGTTCTGTGAGAAACTGAGCAAGCATGTAGCGAACAGTGGCCCAGTAGACATTATATAGTTGGACTTTCAAAAGGCTTTTGACAAGATACCTCACCAAAGACTCCTGAGTAAACTTAGCAGTCATGGGATAAGAGGACAGGCTCTCTTATGGATTAAAAATCGGTTAAATGACAGGAAGAGTAGGAATAAATGGACAGTTCTCACAATGAGGAGAAATAAGCAGTGGGGTCCCACAATGATCAGTATTGGGGCGGTACTATTTAATTTGTTCATAAATTATCTGGAACTAGGGCTGAGTAGTCCAGTGGCCAAGTCTGCAGATGACATAAAATTATTCAGGACAGTGGAAACCTAGGATGACTGTAAGAGGAACTCCACAAATTGGGTGAGTGAGCAACAATGTGGCAAATGAAGTTTGATGTTGGTAAGTGTAAGGTTATGCACAGTGGGACAAAAAAATCTCAACTTCAAGTATAAACTAATGGAATCTAAACTTACTGAGAGGTGAAAAGATCTTTGGGTCATAGTGAGTAACTCAATGAAAGTATCAACCTGTGAGCTGCAGCAGTGAAAAAGGCAAACACTATGTTAGGGATTACTAGGAAAGGGACTTAACATAAAACGGTCAATATTATAATGCTCCTGCATAGATCTACAGTGAGGCCTCATTTGGAATACTGTGTGCCATTCTGGGCACTGCATTCCAAAAAGAACATCTCAGAACCGTAAAAAGTATAGAAGGGGACAACCAAGATGATTAGCGGGGCTGAAGCACCTTCCCTATGAGGAAAGGCTGAAGAGTCTGAGACTTTTCAGTTTAGAAAAGAGATGGCTAAGGGGGGACATGATAGAGGTTTATAAAATTATGCATATGGTTGAGAGAGCTGACAAAGAGAATCTTTTCTCCCTCCCCCAAAATACTAGAACTCAAGGGCATCCAATGAAGCTGATGGGCTGTAGATTCAGGACCAACAACATGATCTATGTTGTTTTAAACTGTTGTTTTAAATTGTATTATATATTGTACTGATACTGATGGAACCCGCCCTGAGCCTGCTTGTGGGGAGGGTGGGATACGAGAATAATAAAATAAAAACAAAACAAACAAATAATACTTCTTTACACAGAGAGTGATTAAAATGTGGAATTTGCTTCCAGAAAATGTTGTGATGGCCACAAGAACATAAAGCTTTAAGACGGGATTTTAGATAGATTCATGGAGGATAGGTCTATCACTGGCTACTAGCTATGGTGACTGAGGTTAACCTCTAAGCTCAGAGACAGTCAGCCTCTGAATCCCAGTGCCAGGAGGCAAATCAGAGGAAGGTCTCTATGCCCTGTTGTTGGACCTCCAGAGGAACTGGATGGCCACTGTGTGAGACAGGATGCTGGACTAGATGGACCACTGATCTGATACAGGAGGACTCTTCTTATGTTCTTAAAGTTCTCACCAAGAGATTAATAAGTATCAGCTAAATGGCTACGCTATATTCCTCAATGATAGGAAGGGATAGGAAGAGTAGGGGAAATAGAAGTGTACCATGGTCAGAGTTGCAGAGCCCACATGCTGTTAGTTGCTACTGTGGATCATTACTGTCCATGTGTTTCTATTGACTCTGTGCAGGAAGCCCTCCAACAGAGGAAGAAGCCAGGATGAAATGACAATCACCTGCTGTGCCTGTGATATGATCAATAGCTGCAGAGATCAGTATGCATCTAGCCACTCTGCTGTGTGCCAACTCATTTGTTCTAGCCTGGCTGACTCCAGAACCATTGCATGCTGCACTGTTGACACCACCATGGCCATGCACTCTTGTGGATAGCTGTACACTTCAGTCCATCAGTGCAGTTCTACAAGATACAGGAACAAGAGAGCTTGTTCCATTTGTCTCCCTTGCTTTCAGAATAACATGCCTGATCCTGTTCAGTAAACACGTGGACTGTATCACAGCGGTGTATGTTGCATGAGTTTTGGTACTGAACAGTTCCCCCCACCCCACTCATCACTAACTTCAGCAGTCTTCAACATGGAACACGCATCCGGGCACATTCAATGCTTACACAGGGATGCTCTTGCAAGTGGAGGTGGGTGAGCTCCTGCTGGCACAAGCCTTGTTGGGATGAACAGGAATAGGTGGCAGAAATTAACCCTGCCTTCAGCAGAGGAATGGTGCATGGGGCTTGCTGACCAAAATGACTGGTGTGTGAGGCTGTCCATCAGCATGAGTAATCTATAAATGATTATGTTTGCATCTCAGATCCCTTCCAGGGCTGTCTGGTAGCTATCCCTACATTGGGCTCACACCAAGGAACTAAAACAAGGGTCCCCAACATTTTTGAGCTTGTAAGCACCTTTAGAATGTTGACACAAGGAGGTGAGCACAACCACAAAATGGATCCTGCAGGAGGTTGCACCAACCAAAAATGTCAGGGAGTGAGGGCATGCATAACTAATAGTAACTCCTTAACAGTTCAGGCAAAAGCTCTATTTAAGAGGGTGTTTTTTAAGATGAACATATTGTTTTAAAATATTTTCTTGCATACACATAGGGTACCTTCAGCCACACAGTGAAGATCCTTGTGCTGTGGTGGCAGCCGCTACTAATGCGACATCTTTATAAATCCATGCAGCCAATCATATGTCCAATGGTCACTCAGAAGCCCTGCTCAAAAAAGCCACATCTGGCCCCACTTGGGTGACTGCCATGAAAGCTGTTGGCAAGTGAACTCAACTTTAAATGCTTGCCGAGTTCACTCGCCAAGTTGCACAACCACAGCCGCGAGACTCTGCGAGTGAAGTCAGCATTTAATTGCTTCCTCAGTACACTCGCCAGGTCGTGCCACAGCAGTGGTGAGACTCAGTGAGTGAGCTCAGAAGGGATTTAAACTTTAAATGCTTGCCGAGTTCACTTGGCGGTGGCACAACTCAGTGAGTGAACACAGCAAGCATTTAAAGTTTAAATCCCGTCTCCCCATAGGGTATAACAGAGCCAAATAAATTCAGCAATCCTGATGATTTCCTGAATCCTAATATCATACCAATATTGGGATTTGGGAATATCAGGAAATACCGATATTTTGGGGGCTCAGTACACCCAACCCCCCAAAAATAAACGATTTTTTTTGCACACTCCTAGTGTATACTTAGAGGACTGATCCCACCTATGTAAGGTGTGGATTCCAGTCCAGTCTCTTCTTTCTGTTTTACTGCTGGATGAAAGGTAAATTTTGCCTTATTACTACCATCTCTCACATAGGTGCCTTTCCCCACCGAGGTCAAGAGGGGTGTTGACAGACACACTTTCTGCAACTGTACAGTAGTATGTTTGCTTTTGGCTGTCCTAGCGTCTCCATCTCTTATGCCTGGTAAAAGGCTGGTGCTCTTGAGATTCCCTTCTTCCCACCAAGACATGTACTCTTGTGCCAGATAGGTCTGAACCACTCTGCGAGCATGTACTCTTGTGCCAGATAGGTCTGAAACACTCTGCGAGGTTGCGCCGATCAAGTAAGCAGCACAGGTATGGGGGTATTATGGCTGAAGTGGCCAAATCTCCTCCTTGTGAGCACATATGGGTTAAAGGGAACATAGTTATAGATTTGCGTCCCTTCCTGCACCTATGGCTTTTCCTTGTGTGAGTGGATATGGTGTTCTTTTTGATACTTCTTTTGCTCACCTGTGGGTGAGCAGCACTGGGCTAATGTCAGTGTGTGCTGACTAGCTGCTTCCCTCTCTTCCTAACATTCTTAGTATAGGATGCCCTGTTGCAGGACATAACAAGATAAAACCAAAAATGGGAAAAGATAAGGTGAGAACCAACCAACCAGTTCATCAGGGTTCTTTATAGTATTCTTTACTCTTGGTCATCCAAGGTAAACATGACTGCAACCTAAATTTTAGTTTAAACTTACAATGATAAGAGGAACAATGAAGTCACAGACAAAAGACTTATTTCCACTAAAAACAAAATATTTAGTCCAGAACAAAAGGACAGTAATACTTTAAAATAAGAGAGTACTATATGAAAATATTTAGAATATCATTAGAGTTTATGCTGCTTTCACATTTAACATATTAGATACAGACAACTTTTAAAAGCCTAATCTCTCTGTTTTCCTATAGGATAATAGGGGTGACAAATATGTGCTTCATGCTACATATAAAATATGCCTTTTCAACTTTTTCAGCCTTAGAAAATGCACCATAACTAATGCCAGAGTCTTGGAATACAAGAAATTTCACCCTCTTTTTCAATACTGCTAAAATATAGCCAAATACATAAATTTAAAAGTTCCTAGATTCATGACAGGCCTCACTGATAAATCCCAATACCTTCATCCACTTTTAACATTCCAGTTTTTGGAACACAACAGCAGAAGGCAACAGAGTCAACACTTTTTTCCTTAACATGCTACAGCTCTTACATGGCAAGATTTAGCTTCTATTGTACCATGACTAATTGGAACTCAGCACACCACTAAACCACCCAAGTTAAGACTCCCAATGTCGACAGGCATCAACAACACATTCTAAATATTTAAGTAATTAGAGACTCTATTTCCTCTTGACTTTCTATGAAGAGGCCTCCTCAAACATACTGAAAGCTATGCAGTTAATGTATTTGCCAATTCCCTCCTACACTTTTTCTCATCTAAACCTACTGACTTATTCATCTTACCTTGTAGCAAATGCAGGCTGTACTTCATGAGGGTTGCGGCGGTCAGACCAGAAAAATAGCAGTCTATCAAATTTAGGTTCAATGTCAGCAAACTGGGCTTTGCCTTCTGGAAATATTCGAAGAATACCGCCACTGACCTTAAAAAGAAGTCAAACACCTTAATGGTTAAATATGTAATTATGAAGCATAAGTAAATTATGTTAGCTATGTAGAAGTATGTTTTCTTCTTTTGTGGGGTGAATGCTGTTGAACTGTTATTACCCCAGCAAGCAGCCAGTCCTGGGTAAGTAATGTAAGTTGCATGGTTGCTCTCAGGTCCAGTCCCAATGAGTCCTCTCTCAAAGCCCAAGACAGCCTTGGGATGGGCCTTTCCCCCCTACCCTTTTGCTTACAGAAACCAAGGCTTGAAAACTGGCAACGCTATTATACCTGCCTAGCAACCTCCACAACAGGTGCTGCAGAAGGCATTTGTTTCCTAAAGCTGCAGGTGCTACTTCTGTTATGGCAGGGTGGGGGGAACTCCCTAATGTATTTCTTAGATTTCAGATTTTTCTGCAAACCTAGGGCTTTTCTCAGGCTTGCACAAAGAGCTGTCTTGCCTGTTCATGGCTCCAGTCTCCAAATTTAAGTATTCACAGATGGGGCCCCAATGATAATCAGATACAATGATATCCTGCTCCTCTATAAAAATATAATTATATTGACTATGCCAACAGTGTTGTTAACTAGACACTAATACTGAAGGAACTGTTCACAGCTTTTTCTTAGGATGAACAGAAGATAAATTTAGATCCGTTATGAGACAAGCATCTCTGCATGTCTATCGAGAGATTGTCTCATCAGTTCCAATACTACACCCTTTTAATATGTCCACAGTTCTTTGCTACTAAAAATTAGTGAACAGAAAGCAGGTCCAAACTGTCTTCATTAGCCATATAAAATTATGTTTATCACTGTCATGAATATTTTGACTACATCAACCAGGAGTAACAAAAAATGTCTCATAACTGTATTATTAACCCAGCCTACTTCTTACTGTTGCATTGAACTGGCTCTTACAACAACTTTTTGTGATTCCACAGGTACACTGATGTAAAAACATTCTCCCTAGGCTGCTAGATAATGCATCATGGGGAGTTAAGTGGCTGCAACTCTGCTCAGCATGTGTCCATCAGGTGCTCTAAGAGGGAGACGTGTGAAAAACAGTGTTCCCTTTATACAATGTGCTTAATCATTTCAGGTTAAAAGTAAACCAGCTATCCAAAGGAATTTAGAAATAAATTTTTAACTATTCAAGCATACACAGATCTCTGAAACAGATTTACCTTGGCATCCCAGTCTTTATTAAGGTAATATATACACGTGACACATCTTCCATCTCCATTTGGATTATCAACATGACGCACATATCCTGTTCCATTGCCTGGATAACAAGCTACCATTGCCTGTAATTTAAACAAAGAAATTAGCCTATGAATACAGAGGCAATTTTCCCTTCTACCTCTGCAAGTGGATTCCCATACTGCTTTTCTCTACCTGGAGATAAGGGCTTTCTTTTATTCCTTTGAGTGACTATTTCTAAGAATAACTGTGGTTAACCACAACAGCCAGGGAGCTATTTAGGGCTTCTGCCACATCACCAGATTTAAAAAATGATATATAGAGCTGAATATCATTGGTATTCCAAGGCCCCAACCGTGAATGATCTGATATAGAGATTAAAAGTATCCTACATCAAGATCAGTGTGTATTCTTGATATTTTATCAGCAACAAAATTTGGCAAAATGTACCACAGCTAACTGTGCCTGGGACAGGGCAGGATCAAATTTTGGCATCAGCATATGCTAGGCTATCTTGAAAATTGGGATGGACATGAACGAGTTGAAGCTACAATAGTAGAGAAGTAACCTTTCTCTGCCACCATCAGCACCATTTCATAGGTCAGATTAAGTATGATTTCTCTGTCAGCACCATTCTAGATGTTTCCCAACCCTTTTCAGATCACCCAGCTTCATTATAAACCAGGGGGCTGGGTTTCATCCCAAGGGCGGGAGTGGTTGACGAGAAGGGCAACCTTGTCAATAGCTTCAAAAAGCTTCACAATCCACGCTTCCACTGTGGCCTCAGCAGAACACATGTTTGGAATCCTAAAATCTCCCAGAGCATTCTGGAATCCAGTAGGATTTATGTGCCTCTGTGCATGGGCCATTTTACCAGGCCTTTCCCATGCAGGGTGTTGGAGCCACATTCACTTTGGCTTTAAGTAGGTAATGTTCAGACCATGCTTCAGGGTGAATCTCCAGCCCTGAAACCAAACCTTCCCTTGAAGGGTCAGTGCAAAATATTAAGTTCAGGGTATATCCTCTTTCATAGGTTGGGCTAATTACAATTTAGGAGAGACCCAAGGCAGTCAAAGAAGCTATACAATCCTGGGCCAGTCTCAATGAGGTATCCTCAGTATGAATGTCGAAGTTCCCCCGAATGATCAGTCTAGAAGTCTCTAGCACACCACATCCAGCAGTATCTCTAGCACCTCATAGAGAGTGCCCACTGGGGAACTAGGTAACTGGTAGACAAGAAGAATGCCTAATCTATCCTTAGTCACTAATGTAAGAAGCATATAGTCAATACCAATGATAGTGTCTGGTCCTGGAGTAACCACTCTGTACACAATAGTCCTTGATCAGGTTTATTGGTAAGATATGGCTTCTGGTCAGGTGAACACCTTTGCCAGAACTAACAATCAACAGTCCAATGGAGGATAGTGGGGAATGGGTTCCGCCCAGCAGACACACGTCACACTCATTCAGGCTACTACAGGTCATGAGAGAATATACAACCCAACTAGTTGTATCTTAAGACTCCTGTCTCCCAAGGCCACAGCTGGACCTGTGAACCATGTGGGGGTAGCTTCGGGAAACTTACAAGCAGCGCCTCTACTCAACACCATACAATCTTTCTCTCACTCACCCCCCTTAGGAATGTCAGGGAAGACAGATAAGGTAATAAGCAAAGCCAGCAGATGTGCAAAGCGGGCGAGGTTACAAAAGCAAAAGTGGACATTAGCAATGCAGGGCAGCAAGATACAGTTATTGATCATGGTACAAAGACAATCAATTCCCAGGTCAAGGGTCCAAATCTGACAGATAGTTTGCACTGGGCGTCTGCAGAAATCAGATGTAATCAGATAAATCAATTTATCAGATCTAGAATTATCAGATTATTTGTAAATAAAAGTTTTAATAAATATATTGCCTAGGAAATACAGGATTTCACTTTGAATCTGAAACAGACAAACCTCATGTCTTCCTTACAGTTTGAGGGCTGTGCCCTACAAAGGTTAAATGTTGTAATGGTACATTCAGTCATGAAGCAGAACTTTGATTTAGTGGTTAATGCGGTGTTTTAATTCAGCTAGAGCAGGGGTGTCAAACATGCGGCCCGGGGGCCAGATCAGGCCCCTAGTGGAACTGGCCATCTCCCGCTTCCAGTTCTGCTACTGCTGCTGCATCATAGCTTGTTTCGCTGGACTCTCTTAATCACTCAGCCATTTCATGTTTTAACCTGGGTCCTAGACTCAGAACTCTGAGCATGAGATTTCTATGGTGAATGTCAATAGATCAAAAGTAGGTTTGCAAGCTTACAGAGCTAATGTTTTAAGCATGTTTTTATTTTAAGTTAAAAATATATCTTTGTGTTTGTGTCCTTTATAAAGTTTATCTCCACTATCTGGCATTACATTTTATGACACACATGGCCCGGCCCAACAAGGTCTCATTTATGTCAGATCCAGCCCTCATAACAAATGAGTTCGACACCCCTGAGCTAGAGATTTTCATCTGGCTGTTTAAAGTAACACACACCCCACACAGGTAGGCCCTAGCAAGTACCACAGTATAAGAGCTTCACACAGCTCTAATTGCCACAAACATTTCTTTTAGAAAATTTATAAACCTTAAGGCAACTACTGATCACTGAAATCAGTGGGACTGCCCTTAGTTCACAAACAGGGGAAGGTTAGAAAGTGAAACAGTAACTGAATTCTCAAGGTGTCTGCTACTTTATACTAGTGAATTGCAAATCAAATCATACCTTCTTCATGGGTGAACATATGAAGACTGGAGAGCCTCATTCTTTGTCCCCCCACACACACACTTAAAACACACTGAGAAAAACACAATTTGGCACTTCTAGCTTCTATTCCTCCTATAAAATCCCCCCCCCAAATGGTGATATTACCAAACAAGGGAGTTCAACAGCTTGTTTCTCTCAAACTGTCTGCCAGGAGACTGAGCCAGTTGCTTCAAGACAGGCACTAGCAGATACACCAGTTCTGGATTTTCAAATATTTGGAAGTTATGTAGAAAAGATCTGTTAACATCAAGTTATTTTACCTAGATCATTGTGCCACACATAATATACTCTCCCAAGTTTTTAAATATTCATAAATGCTTGATTTATATAAAAATATGTTGTTTCTTTTGAACACATGCAGTCTTAGACTGCTTGAAAGCCAATCATGCTTAGCTAGAACATGCTAGAGTAAATGTAAATGGCTATTAAAACAAGTTACTTCACAGTAACAACTATGTTTGGTACTACTCCACTTCTAGCTAGATTTAATCACCAAAATCTATTCTAGCAATTTACTTTGTATAAACACATGAAATTGCTTTATACGTCAGCCTATTGATCCATCTAGAACAGCAGTTCTCCAGTCTCTCAGCCAAAGAACGGCATTTGAAAAGCCAGAACTTGAAGCTGGGAACTTCTGTATGCAAAGCAGATATCCTACTACTGAGCCACAACTGGTCCATCAGCTTCATATAAAAAAGACAGCTATTAGTGAAAAAATATCTATACATTTAAAAAAAGCAACAATAATTAAGATGGGTTGTGCAAACTGATCCTAGGCCAGAAGTTCTCAAATTTAAGTAATCTGGGGACTCCGTACTGGATTAAAAACTTTTTTGCAGACCCTCCCTGTGTCCTTCCCTCCCTGGTACCTGCCATGCAACAGAAAACCCCTTTCAAAGCGCAAGACAAGTCATACATGTCTCACGGAGGACTTAAATCCTCCAGTGTCCTCAAAACAATAAAATGAGAAGCAATGGGCTTTTAAGTAAGTTTAAGTAAAATATTTGTATTATCTGTACATCTGTATTAATATGATCCGGTGTCAAAAGATAGCTGATTCTATTGGCCACAACTTAAAAGTCCCTGATGGAAGTTGTAATCAATCTCACTCCTTGATTGGAAGAGACTTCATGCCAGGAACCGTAAGAAATTTTATTGGTTAGTAACTTCCTGTCAGAAAGGCCAGATGAAAAAATTGTGATTTGCGAAGTTCAAGGAAAATGTTAATTGACTTTCTTTTGGCTGCGGCTAGAGCCTCAATTGCTATTAAATGGAAAAATATTCAGCCTCCTACAATTATTCTATGGTATGATAAGATTTGGCAGTTCTATGTTATGGAAAAGATAGCATACAAGAATGTCCAGTTTGACAATGTGAAGCAGAACGATCGTTTCCTAGCGATTTGGTATCCACTTTTGGAGTATATGATAAGAAAAGACAAAGTGCCAAAAAATGTATATCCTATAGATCTGCTACATCTGTAATGTCGTTGTATCTTTCTTGTATTGTATTTTTAACAGTAGTAGCTTTACAAGTTTTTCAAACCAACTGTAAGTTAAGAAAGCGCTGTATATTTGCACATTGTATTTGTATTGTGTCCAGCTTTTGTGTGTTCAATAAAATTGCAAAAAGAAAAAATTAAGGCCAGATGAACAGAAGTGGGAAGGGGCCTAGAAAAAATTTCAGAGCTGCACATAGAAATAGGAAAAGGCCAGTGTCACAAAAAACTTGAACATCCTATATGCAGTTCAAAACTATTGGCTATTATTGTCAATGGATGCAGAGTAGAGCCTCTATGATGAAATCCTTCATACTGAAAATTGAAAAAATAATTCAATTTTATATCTCTAGAAACCAGAATGACTATATTAGGACTCTACCACCTTGGTGTCACACAACTAATAAAGTTCCTAGGGCTAAGCCTACTAGATCCCTGCAACCAATCAGCCATGTCTTCTGGCTAGTGCTCCATGGTGACCTCGAAATTTAGAGTCTGAGGGTAGGAAAAGTTCTACATGCCCTTCAAAAGAGGGGAAAGCTAATTCTTTCCCCTTTCACCTGAGACTCATTGACCCCATTGGTAAAAAACTGAGATAGTGCCACTTCATATTAGCCAGATGGGCATGAAGAGCTCATCAACTATTGTTAAAAAGGACTTGCAGAGCTCCCACCCGCAAGAGTCCTTACTTACTATTTGAGAAATGCTGCCCTAGGCCAAAACTGAATGAGTCTTTCCAACAGAACTGCTTTATGAAGTTAAAAATAGTTCCAATGCTTTGAAAAAATCTTGAATTTAAAAAGCCTAAC